TAAATAAATATCTAATTATTTGTATAATCATAATGCCAACTATGAATAGAGAAGACCATAGAGTTATAACTTTTGACGATGAAGAAATTAAAGACCTATTTAATGGTGATGAAAACTTTGCTAAACAATTGAGCGAAGAATATTTTTATTGGTTTGATGCTAAATTCAATGATAAATATTTTATGAAAGGTATAACTAAACCGGATAAATTTGATAAAATATTGATGTTTTTTGAAATTACAGGTGACGAGGAAGGTTTAATAAAAATGAACAATAAAATTGGTGAAAGACTGTTAGAATATAATTTATTTACATATATAACATTAGATTATTCAGGTAAACTGTATAATAAAACGCATAAATAAATATTTAAATAAATAATTATATAAATAAATATATATAGAAATGTCTGAAGTTGAGAATGATGCTATTGCTGAACTATCAAAGAAGATAATGACAGTTAGTAAAAATGTTAAACTGTTGTACGAGATGATAAAAACTATTGACCAGAAACTTGATGCAAAGGCAAACGAACCAAAAAATAACAATGAAGAGAAGGAAAAGATTGATAAGATCTTTGAAAAGAAAGGGATAGGCAGACCCAGCGGTGATTATGACACGAAGCGTAAAAAATATTGTGATATGTTAAATAAGGGACAAATCAAAAGTCCAAAAGAACAAACATTAGAATACTATAAGATTATTAAGGAAGATGATAAATATGTATATTTCTAAAACATTATCTAAATCATTCTAATAAACAATATGAATTTATTAGAATTATTTAGTGGAACTGGAAGTGTAGGAACCATAGCAAAGTCATTAGGTTTTAATGTCATCTCATTAGACTTGAAAAATGCTGATATTAATTGTGATATTTTGGAATGGGATTATAAACAATTTGACAGAAACCATTTTGATTTTATTTGGAGCAGTCCCCCGTGCACCGAATACAGCAAAGCAAAAACGACAGGAATTAGGAATATTGAATATGCTAATAGTATAGTTTTAAAAACTATTGAGATTATCAAATATTTTAATCCAACATATTTTGTAATCGAAAATCCTCAAACTGGATTATTAAAAAATCAGGAGTTTATGAATGAGTTTGATTTTGAAGATGTTGATTATTGCAAATATGGATTTAATTACAGAAAACGCACTAGACTTTGGAATAACATTACGAATTGGACACCTAGAGATTTATGTAATAGAGATTGTGGAAAAATAAGGAATAATAAACATATTGAAACTGCGCAACGACTGCCATCAAAAACTAAAGCAGAATGGGGAGATAATTATGTAATACATAAGCAGGAAGATTTATACAAAATACCTGCTGAATTGATTTGTGAGATTTTGACGAGTTTGACAGATTAAGGAATTTGAGTTGGGGTTGGAGTTCAAACTTGAAATTTCTAGGTTCATCCAACGACAACACAGTAAAATTTATGAAATTTAAAATTTTGAAAATGGTGAATTTTAAGGGGATAATCCATAGTTTTTAAAATAAATAAAACACCAAAAATATATAGATATATCCAGAAACTCTTGCCAATCGCCAAACAGGGCAACAAAAAATTGGCGAGAGTTTCCCCCTTATATAATATATAAATATAAGAAAAAACCCTCCCAACTCCTCCCGTCCATACCTAGTAGAGGAAAGCCTTGTAGATAAAGTCCATGATGAAGATACCTGCGCGGAGACAAGTCGCGTTGTGAAGGGTCAGTGGGGAATAACAAAGGGTGGTAACCTAAAGACCTACATACCTAAAGACCTACTGCTCTACTGCACACCTCATTTTTCCATCCACGCGTGGACAGCAACCAAAATATTAGGAGCGCAGCATTCCACACTGCACAAGCGGAACGCCACTCATGGCAAAGCAAGTTGCAACTGGCACCAAGGTGGTCGGGCAACATTCTGTTTGACCAAGCGGGTTGGACAACATTCTGTTTGACCAAGCGGATTGGTTGCCAAGGTGGTTGGGCAACATTCTGTTTGACCAAGCGGATTGGTTGCCAAGGTGGTTGGGCAACATTCTGTTTGACCTGATGCCTAATGCAACTTGCTCATCAGTCAGTCATTCTGCCCATCTCGGCACGGACTTCATTGCGAATTTGGCGTTTGCCCAACTCATTGTTGATGTCATCCTTCAACTTGGAAAATTCAAATTTACCACTCTCGCTCAGGAAGGTGTGGCACAGGACGAAGACACCGGCACTCTCCACGCTGGCAAGCGCCTTCTGGTAGTTGGAAACCACAGCACGCAACGAGGCGGTCTTCTCACCAAAAAGCAGTTGAGACACACCTGAAACCTTGGCGTCCTTGTTGTTGTTGGCACCAATCTTGATGAGCATCTCAGTCAGGGCGGAAGTCTCAACGGATGCAAGCAAGTTCTTGAACTCACCGTGCTTGGTAGAAGCATCGCTGTTGGTCTCAAAGTTCTGCAAGGTCTTGGACACATAGACCTCAATATTCTTCATGTAGGCGTCGTCGACAGAAGGCACCAAGGAAGACTTGGACACAACCTTCTCGCGCAAGGACTTCAACATAGCTGGTTTTTTGGTGGTCTTTGCACCAACCCCACCAACGCGCACCCTGAACTGCATAGTCAGCACTTGATGGTCAGGAAGGTAGGCATACAGTCCATCATAGTCCTGTAGCACGCTTGCTCCCTCGTTTGTGCCGAAATTCAGCGTGTAATCCTCGCGGTCAAGTCCTGTGAGGCGGTAGATGCTGTCATACAGGTCTTTGCCGGTCGCACGCTGGTCAAAGAAGACATTGATGACCGCCTTGTCATCAAGAGACACCTTGCAAGTCCGCTTGTTCTGCTCCCCCTCGCTGTGAAGGTGGATGTCTTCCATATCCGGAAAACTAGTGGTCTCATACTCCTCATCCGCCTTCGTTTTGACATAGGACAAGACCGTCCGGCTGTTCTTATCCATCTGCTCCTCGTGCTCGTTCTCAATCATCTCAATGACGAGCGACAAGGCAACCGAACCCTCATTGGTGATGGTGGCAGTGAGGGTTTCAAAATACTGGGTCTGCTTCTCAACGATTGCCACGCACCATTTGACCAAGAGCATCTTGTCAAACATTGACAGGTCATCAATGGCATCTTTCACGCGCTGTGTGTGCTCTTCCCAAGATATCGCGGCATCTTCTGGCAAGTTCTCGCACAACTTGTTGGCAATTGCCAAGGCAATCACCGGCTTGGCGTCCTTTGACTTCACACGGATGTCCATTTGGATTGCCAAAGTCTTGAGTTCATCCTTCTTCCGCGCTTCACAAAGCATCTCTGCAATCTCCCCAGCATCTCGCACCATCCACTCTTCCAAGTCCACTGGAACGTTTCCATTGTTCATCTCTTCAAAGATGGCATCTGGCACAGCATATGCCCTGCGAATGCCATTGAGAGAGGCAACCAAGAAAGGCATAGCGTCAGTAGCAACTACAGGAGGTAGGGCACTTGAACACCAAATCGCTTCATTTCAAGCGAGGTTGAATGCTCAATGCTGGTGCGACAACTGGCAACCAAATGCAGTGCAAAAGTTCAACCAACAGCAACCCAACCCAACCCTGTGGCGCACATTGTGAAGATGAAGCGGATGAAGAAGATGTTGCTAATGCAGAGTGGGCGGTGCCGACGGTGCCCCCGGAAAACCCCAGAAAAGAGGGTAACCCATAAACCTTACAATAAACAACATTGTAAGATTTATGTTTTGAAATTATGGGGATTTTGGGATTTGGGATTTTGGGAAAATATATTTTGGGAATTTGGGATTTTGGAAAAATATATTTTGGGAATTTAGAAAAATATTTACAAAATTTATGTATCAAATCTTGAGTTGAGGTTCTGTTATGAATTGATGAAAAAATATTATGTGAATTGGTCGGTTGAGGGGATTTTATCCAACTGGGGGGTCCTCTTGGGTAGGTGTTATACCCTAAGTGGCTAGCCGCCTAGTCACTTGGCCAAACATCCAAGCTTGTTGATTGAGCTTTTGAGGAATCGGTGCCATATGGTGCCATATCACCCGACAGGAACAGAAACGGCGTGGGTTTGGGAATGAGCAAAGTTTTGGACTTGAACTGAGGATGTCCCAAAGGGTCGGATCATATCGGATCCGTCTGGCTGGTTAGGGTGTTTTTTTTTGTCCTGTTGCTCAGTTGTTCAGTGGCTCCAAGTCTTTTTTCCAACTTTGTTTTGGTGGCTGCCCCACTAAAATGGTCCAAGCCCAAAAAAGGGTTCCAAATATTTTTTTCCAGGGTCACTGAACAACTGAGTTTCAGGGTGCCAAAGATTGGATGGTTTTGAAGCGAAAGCAAAACGGAAGCCACCTGGCCCCAATGTCCCGCTCGGAGTGAAGCAATATCTCACGTACTGAGTTTCTGGACTTTAAAACAAAGTTTGGACTTTGTTTGGCCAATCCACTTAGGAAGTGAGTGAAGCATTATGAAACAACTCCATGTCTGCCATTTATTCGGGCCCGGACTCGAGGAGTTCTACTAAACGTTTCCGATCACCAAAGGACAATCGTTTGCGCAGCATCCGAAAGAATCCCATTTGTTAGAACCCATGTTGGTCACCCAAACCATTCCGAGCATCACTTGGATCACAGCTGATTCGGGGAGCCCTCTGAAACAGGGAGTAAGCCGTTCGCGCATGAGGAAGGGCTTTGCGCAGTGTCACTAAATGGGATCAGAGCGCAGTCCTGAAGGCAGCCGATGGCCGGTTCTGGCATTTTGGAAATGATACTTTGGAATCTTCGCTAAATCCGGACCACGCCCAAGCAAATTATGTTTGGTTGGAGGTACGCTAAATCTGGACCAGAGTCAAGCATGTGGGTGTGGGTGTGTCTTTTGAGGGTACCCATTGTTTGTGGTTTTGGGAAACCAAGAGGCATCCCACCATTTTGGGGAGGTCCGATTCCAAAAAAGGACGAGCCCATATGTTCTTTGGTTGGAGCTGCAAAAGCGGTGGTGTTCTCCTGAGGTTGTTTTGGCCAACGTCGGTGCCGAAGCGGGGTGCCCCGGGCTCTTTGAGACGCGCAACTGATTTTCAGGCATTGTAATCGCATTCGTCCATTTGCTGAATATGGCTGCGGGTCAAAACCAATGATACCATTTTGGGGTAGGTGCACCAACCGTTTTAGTCTATTTTAGTGGGGATTGGGATGTTCACTGGGGGTACGGGATGTCGACCCATGGCCATATGTCTATTGTATTTTTCCAAGTCGATTTTACTACTGAACATGTGTGCCTTTTTTTAAATCAGGGCACGAAAACGCCAATGGAGGAATTCACATGGAGAAAGTCCATTCTCAAAATTGAGGCCCTCATAGGAGCCCGAAATTCCAGTTTCCCTTATCACCCTCCCTTTTGTCAGGTTTTCTTTTCGTGGCTTCCCTTCGATGTCGGGTTTGGATTGCTGGATTGCTGGCTTGGGGGTACAGGAGCCCCAGTTCCTTTTGAAGCCAGATGGGTTTTTAGTGCCAACAAGTCCAAACCACGCAGCCAAATCACCAAGGCAAGGTGATCGGAAAATGCACTCGGCCTAAGAGCACAGACAAGATCATTCCATGATCAGAAGGTACCTTTTTTTCGCTCGTATTTTTTAACTTTATTTAGCGGTTCCGAGGTTTGAGGGAAATGCGTGGGTTTCAAGGGACCCTTCGGGGGGATCCCCCAAAAAAGGAACACCATTTTCCAGAGAAAATCAAGCCCCCCGCTAACATGGCACCTGATAGGGAGTCCCTTGAAGAGGAATCGCGTCTTCCAGGTACCCTGCCACAGGTGCCATGTTTGTGGAAGGAAGGGTAGTTCATTTGGGACTATTTCGTCCCACTGCAGAATCCGAATCTGTGTAGCTCGAACGCAGGGAAGCTTCTGGTTACACAAAAGGCGCGTCCGCTTGTTTGAGGGGAATTCCCGGATTTTGTTAGGGTCCTTCAAGGGAAACTAAGGGAATTCACCTATGTTTGCCTTGATAAGATCCGTGGCCAGCCCCTGCACATGAGAATCCGGGACGGGAGTGAACCCAGCCATGAGCTGATCAAGCTAGTTACATCAATGGCCGCAGCGCGCTCTTTGCACCATGTCCCCTTTCAACAAAGACAAGCATGTGCTGCCTTTGGAAAACACGATGCTGGAAGTGGCCTCCGGACAGAAGAATGTTGACATGGCTGGGCGTCAGTGAGTATCACAGGTCCCTTGCCATTGCGGGGCTTGTCAGTGTTCAACCCCCCCTACCTCCTCTATTTGGACGCTAATTTATCAGGCCATTGGGGGCAAACTTCTGGAAGACCCAGTGTGGTGAAAGAAGCTTGCCATAGCGTGCCCGCGGGCATGGGAGAAAATGGGTGGAACCACAGAAAAAAAGTGTTACTCTTCTTTTCCTTGAAGCCAAACCAAACAAGCTGCCTCCAAAAGCACAGTGGCCCCCGAAAACATTGCCGAACTGAACTAAATCAAAGCTCCTGGTTTTCCAACGGCAGCTGAAGGAGCAGCTCCGAGCTTGCAGAAAGGTTCCGGCTGTTGGGCTCCAAACTTCAAGAAAGAACAGAGTGGCCTCAAAAACAAGTCGTTGTCCCTTGTGAATTCCGTATGAAAATCACCTTCCCTAGGAAGGTGTCTAGCTTTGACACACCCATACGGGCGGTTTTAAAGGCCACCCAAAGGGAAACTGCATTTTTTTTGTTTCGGCGGGGCCAATTTCACAACCCCCCCCCCCCCTTTCTTTTTTTCTGCCAGAACCAAGGGGCGCCCTTTCGCATCCAACTCCTTGGCCGATCCTAAAGTCGTTGGTTGTCCAAGTGGAATGCTGAGGATGCGGCCCAGGGCAACGGCTACTCAGCTCGCGGCTCCCTTGGCTCACCGAGGGTGGGAAACGGGAAAACAAAAAAACAAAAACGGGGGGGAAACAACTCGTGCCTTTTGTGCATGATTGGAAACCAGCTTTGAGCGACTTCTGCTTAAAACCTTCCATTTGCTTAAGAATGTGTTTTATATTCCCTTGTTGGTTTTAAGGGAATCTATCACTATACTGGAAACTACTCATGTTTTTTTTCCCGGGAGGCTTAAGCAAATGGAAGAAACGGGGCTGGTTTCTTCGGGAAGCCCCTCGGAAACAAGCAAAGGCTCGGTTCGAGTCGCTCTCCCGCGCTGAGTCGTTCTCTTGCGCCGACCAGGGAAATTGCAGCAGAGCCATACGCAAACCCCGGTAAGGATGAAGGTTAGTAACTCAGTCGTTCAGTGGCGCCTTTTTCTCTTTTTCTTGGTGGCTGCCCCACTAAAACGGTCTTCCCCAAAAAGGGCTCCCTTTTTTTCCAGGGTCATTGATCAATTGAGGTAAGGGGATAGTCCCAACCACACATTGCAGCCGCCTTGTTGGTCTATTTGCAGACCCGAGGAGAATGCGCAGTTGGGGGGGGGGGGTCGGCAGCTCCATGGTGCCCTTTTGATGCAGATGGTGTTTAATTTGTCCCTGTTTGTTGTAAAGCAAAACGATTTCGCTACCGGACATATTTGCTCATGTATTTCGGGGGACTGAAGTGAATGAGGTCAAGTAACCAGCTCACCTGTTTTTGCCATTCGAAAATGGTTGGCAGGGGCGATTCCTATTCAGGGAGACACAGAGATTGGGAAGACCTGGGTCTCTCTGAGACCGGAGGCCTCTTTGTTTGCCCAATTTTGTTCCAGTTTCGCAATTTACGCAGACCCGTAGGCTGGTTCAAAGACAGCCCTCCTTCCTTCATCAAAACGGATTTGGATGTGTCTTTTTTAATGTTGGACCCCTAAAAATGTAGTTGTCCTTGTGGTTTCCGTTTAACACCAAGAAAGACGAGTACTAGTGTGTTTGTTGTAGGCCAGCTGGGCCGCAAACTAAAACCCGGGTAGATGAAGATTAGTAAGGGATAGTCCCAACCATACATGGAAGCAGCCGCCTTGTTAACTCATTGCACGGTTCTGGGTAGACCATTTGTTGTACCACGCTTTGATTATGACTCAGTTTAGCTGGGTTCAAACTAATTCCTTTCCCTTGTCGTGTCTCGCAGACTCGCAGATGGCGAGATCCGCACGGGAGCATCCCACTTGCTAGCTTTCTCTCGGCGAGGTGAGTTTGCGAGTTGGAACTATAGGGAAACCGTCGCACCCCTTTTCACATCCTGCTTTGCAAATGAAACTTGAATAGAATCCACGATCAACCTTAATTGCTTGCATTGGCTTATAAGAATATGTTGTTTCTGCTGTTGATTTTAGAGAGAATTGATTTCACTACTGGAACTATGCTTGTTTTGCTCAGCAGACTCTACTGCAAATGGAAGTCGACATTCATCAGGTCACTAAATTGCATTGGGTCGTGTGCGACTGAATATTGGCTGTTGCTCATATGCTGCCGCCTTGCCACGAAACGAGTTCGCTAGACACGGGCCACCCGGATTAATGGTTTGGGACCATCGATGCAAGGTCTTTTCTCTCAAACATAAACAGAAGTCTTCGCATTGTGTCCCACCAACAGTAGAGGGAGGTTTTAAGCACGCTCCATGCTAGTTTCGGGGAATCCGGAGAAGCATACTTGGATTCCAAAAAAGCGCGCATCATGATACTCATGAGAAATATGGTTGTCGCAGCAGAACAGGCTCTAATTCAAATGGCTGGTTTCTGCCGTTGCTAGTTCAGGCCGTTCCCAAATTGAAATCAAGCATTGGGGTTGATGAGGTCTGGCCGAGCGGGTTGCAGCTGAGTCGAAGGCAGGATTGGGTTTTGGGGCCCGCCCGCCCGCACGCCCGCCCGCCCGCCCGCACGCCCGCGCACATGCACACGCACACACACACACACAACAAGGGCTCACAAAAGAGATTCCTCTAAATACAAACTTTTGTCAAGGTATGATGTCAACCCCTGACTCCTAAAGAAGGTAGTTCTCGTTGAAAACACGGTTTGTTCCAACTGTACCCAGAAAGAGCTGGGAACTCGGAGTCATCAAGGGGTAAGCTCTTCCAGACGTCCCGTACGTCATAGCCAGAATGTAATGGCTTCGAAGCTCTGTTCTTTGAGGCGGGATGGAACGAGCATTTTGCTCCTATGAACCCTTGAGGGACTTGGACCCAGAATGGCCTTTTGGGGTAAACCGACCACACCTGGGCAAGCCTAAAACTGGAGTAGTCGAAACATGAAACCCGGCTTGGCGTGTACACACCCAACACCAACAAGCCAAACCCAAACCGATACCCAGCCATCGATTGCTTCGAGGTCCCACGTTGTGGCATTCGTTATCCATTCGAAGGCGACATGTGAGCAGTGCTGCATCCAGAAAAAGGTCGGATGCTCAAAGCCTGTGCCAGGTGAATTTCTAGGAAGGGTGGTGCATGACGTACCGAGATTCGCCGCAAACCTTCCGTGGCTTCCCTACTTGGGTGTTCGGCCAAGTGAGCAGCTCTAAAAACCCCCCGTTACATGCCAAGCAATAGTTGTGTCATAACAAGGCCCCGCGTAAGCAAAAGCCTGCACGGCGTAAGCGGGCGTAAGCACTTTTTGGGGAAACATGTTGCGTAAGCACCTGCGTAAGCTCTTCTTCGTGATTGCTTGGTAAGCTTTGTAAGCATGCTCGGAAGAGTTGTCCCACATGTGCTTATGCGTTTTTTGGTGGCTTGTGCTGTTGCAACCTAGCCGAGCTTGGCAACTTGCCCGGAGGACTTTGCCTGCAGGAAGACGTCTAAGACCGCAGGTGCGCACCATTAGGGGAAAAAAGCAACAAGCAGAACTTTGATTGGGAGCTCTTGGGGCTCATGCTAGGTGCTGTCGCAACCTCCACTAGGACAAACAAAGGCTTCAGTAGCCGCTGATTTAGGAAAACTACAGGGGCGCGGGCGCGTAAGCTCGCGTAAGCAGGCGCGTAAGGTTCGCGTAAGCTCGCCTAGCTCAGCTGCCCGCTAGCCCTCGTGATGGATGCCGCTACCGCAAAAACCGGTTTCTTGATTTGCAGCAAAAACAACAACGCCAAGCTGCTGAAGCTCGCGAGCGCAGTTCTTCGTCATCTCTTCCACACAGTCATCCACATCATCTTCAACAGTTCTGGCGGCAGCAATTCTTGAGGGGAAACGCTCAAAACGCCGACGCGTAAGCGATGCGTAAGCTTTACATGCTGTCTGACTGCCGCGTAAGCTAAAACATGGGTCGCGTAAGGAAAGCGCAAGCTTGCGCGTAAGCAACTTGATACGACATAGGGATTGATGGGAGGTTTATAGAGTCGCTCAAGTGAGTAAGTCCTTAGTAGCCTGCCGGGTGTAGCCTACTAACAACCGGCCCAACTCACTCGTAAGTAATTTATGACATAGATATCTCAACGCGGACCAGCTTGGCCACGCTCTCAGGTAAGATGCTCACCTTCTGTTGGATTTGCTAAATACCCTGAGCAAAAAGTGAACATTGAGTGTAGGAGACACCCTGAATGCCTCCAAAGGCTTGAAAAGGCCGCGTTGAAGCGCGGAACAAACATCTCTAGTTGCGCCGGTTTTCGGGGACCAGACCGAGGGAAAGCGAACTGTTGCTCAGGAAAGGCAAAAGCCTGTAGCGCAACCTAACTCAGTTGTTCAGTGGCACCCTTTTTCCCTTCTTTTTTGTGGCTGCCCCACTAAAAAGGGTCTTCCCCAAAAAGGGTTCCCTTTTTTTGCAGGGTCACTGAACAGCTGAGCTAATGTGCGCGTGGGACCGTGTTTGGGGGGGTCTGCTTTGTCAGACACCCATGTTGACCATAGTGCAGGTTCCCCTCGAAAAGTGGGACACATTCCTTTTCATCAAGTAAGTTGTTCATCCTGGGTTCTCATTGCCTGCACCCCAGATATGTTTCAGGGTATGATGGAGTATGATGTCAATAAAACAGGCAGGAACAACTTGGTTCTTCAAGTATCCCGATATGTGGATTATGTGGAGTAGGTGGATCTATTGCCAAGTGAGCGCGGAATAGTGGGAACCTCGAATTAGTCAGCCCCTGTTTACTCCCCTACAACTTAACGAAAAATCGTCCAAAAGGAGATTCCCAAAAAGAGTTTCCTCTGGAGGGTTTTTTGGTGAGTGATCTGTCAGGATGCGGCAGCCAACAGCTTCATTGTGGCCTTGGGCCCCGGCATGACCTGAGAGCCGCAAGAAAGGAATGTTGCCATTGTTGGCAGTAAATCCTGCTTGGATACGGGTGTCTACCCACGTGTGGTTGGAATTCTTATTTTATAGGGCCTAGAACCACCTCATATCTAGCGTCCAAGGGGCTCCGAGGGATGGGTGTGTCTACCAGATTTTGGTTGGTTGTATGATTTTATCGGGAAGCCACCAAGGATAGAGGGGGGAGGGGGGAGGATGTCCATAGTCTTTGTCCAGACCAATAGCTTGAAGGGTGTTGGGTAACGGATCTTCAGACTTCAACTGTTAGGTTGAAATCCAATGGGTTTGCTGAATTGAATGCACGGATGCAGAAAAACAAAACAGACATGCATGCAGAGGGTTCTTTTGCAGCAACCAATTATATATATATATATATATATATATGTATATAATATACAGCGAAGTTGGAAAACAACATGTATATATGATGATATCTGCTACTAACCAAGTATATATAATTTTGAAAGATGCAGCGAAAGTCAGGGTCTGCAGTCTCAAACATACTCCCCTGGCCTCCGTAACTGCAACCCTTGTTTGGACTCGTCCCTCGGGTGTTCTCCCTTCATGCCAACCAAAGAAGCCGTCTCATATCCCAGTCTTTGACATGGGACAAGCTATGAATTCCCTACCATAATTATGATAATTATGAGGGGGTTCCCAAGGAACCCCCAAAGGCCTCAAAGAATGAAATCGTTCCAAGGGGCTTCTAGATCTTGCTCCCGTTTATACTTGAGCTCTTGAGTGGGTCTCCCTCCATGTCCCCCCTGAAATTCGATGTTTCGACCGACCTTCATAAAGCCCAGGTCGTATCGGCACCCAGCGATGGACCACCCTACCGAATCAAGCGCAACCCCGAAAGCTGCCCCAAGCCACCCCGAACGAGCCTATCTGGGCCTATCAGCCATAGCTTTCAGCTGTTGGGGAAAAAATCACATGCTTTGTCTATGTTCATGGCAACTGGGTGTCTTCAACTCGTTTTGCAGGTTTTAGCCGCTGAGGTTGGGCTATGGCAGATTGGGCGTTGCGGAATCATGAGTTCGCATCCACTTGCACGTTTGCAACTCAGGTGTATGTGTGTTTCGGCGTACTTTGGAAGGACCATGATACATGCTTGGCTTTCGGTGTGGCCGTATCCTAGCTCCTGAGAAATGACCTTTCCATGAAACCTACAAAATGTGATCGACCTTTTGCTTGAGAAGAGCAAAGGTTATTCATAGAAACAATAGCTTGTTGTACTTTCCAGGTGGTTGACCCGTCAAATCTTTGGTCGGAGGCCTTGGTTTGCGTATTGCCCTGAGCACTGTGTTTCAGTTACAGTGCGCTCTGATTCTTGATCTTATGTATTCAAAGCAAATCGGCCTTTAAACCTTTTGTTTTTTCTTTGTTGGTCCATTTTTAGTCACGGCCCCAAAGGTTAGCATTGATTCAGGGTCCTTTGGGCAACTGAGTGATGGGGGCTGCGAATAATGCAAAACTGCCCCATACAGACTACGTAAAGGGTCTTCCTGCTTCCTTGTCGGGTTCACTTGCATGATCTAGCGGCCGGTTGGGCATTTAATATTCGAAATTTTGCCAATCGTATATGGCCGCAACCAGCTATGTGCCCATATGTCTGCATGTTCAAAAGAGGAGGCTAAGAAAATATTGTGAGCCCCCAAAGTGGGTTGTTTAAGGCAAGCGAAACTGGGAAACCAACCATTTCCTCAGCCCTGAGTTCCTGGACTTAAACACTTGTTGGGTTTGGACCATCTTAGTGGTAAACAACATTATACACAGGTCCTTTACCCAAGTGAGTGATGGGGGCAAAAAACAATCCTGGGTCACTATCGCAATTTGGACCAATCCTGATCGGCACACTGTGGACCCCTTTTGGGTCTTTAAAGGCAAGCGAAATTTCACTCTTTGGCAAAAACATCTGAGTGGTAAACTTTTAGGGTTTGGACCATCTTAGTGGTCCACATCAAGTGAGTCACAATCAAAACCCGGGTAGATGAAGGTTTGTAAGGGATGATCCCGACTATAAGTGAGTGCAACTGCCTTTCTGATTATTTACATGGTTTTGGGTAGACCATTTTAACAGCGATGGGTTTTGATTGTGACTCAAGCGTAGGTTTTTCCTGCCCTGCGAGCCCAAGACCGACGTCATTATTTGATTCAAGACCCTCATATTTAGGGCGCAAAGGGCTCCTATAGGGCTGGCAATCCACTTGATCGAAGTAAGTCGGGTCGTAACTCGGACCATCTTAGATCCAGGTCTCAGCCCAGTTGGAAGCGGAGGTGGCCGCGCTGGACGACCAGGATGGGATGTCGTTTCGGCTGGACGCCGTTCTCATCGGTGACCTAAAATGGCAAACTTGTTTTCTTCCATTTGCTCAAGAGGAAGAATATGTCTTAGTTAGCCGTGCTGGGTCTAAAGGGAATCGATTTCACTACTTGAGCTATTCTTCATTTCCTCCAGGGGAGTGAAGCAAACAGCGGTAAAGTGGCAACGGTCTTTGGTGTGACCCCAAAAAACCCTCAGACAGTTGGGGCTGTCCTTTTGAGGGTTCCCCTTTGTTGGTGGTTGTCAACAGAATCTAAAAGGATATTTTTGAGGGGGTCCCCGAAAAGATTAAAAAAACACCTATTTTGGGTTGACAAATGGCTTTGCCACGAATCTGCAGAATTGATCGACCTTTTGCTAGGGGAAGAGCAACCGAGTCAAATAGCACCAACACCACGGGGCTCCCCATGTCTATGAATTAAAGTAGGTTTCACAATTCGTGAAGTGGAAGCAGCTCGAAGTACTGATGGTTGCGACATCCATTCGCACCACTTTGATTCCATGTTTGAAGTCGTTGCGTGTGTTGCTATTTACAGGGAAGTCCAATCAACAGCCGGGCTTTCAGCCGGTGGTTCGCAATGGATTTCGCAACCATCCGTAGCCTAGGAGTCCCTTGGACCCTATGAGGGGGTTCCCAAGGAACCCCCAAAGGCCTCAAATGAAATCGGTTCAAGGGGCTCCCTTTGGGATTGCTCCCTTGGATACTTGAGTGGGTCTCCCATGTCCCTTCCACCTGAAATTTGATGTTTAGACCGACGGTTTTCAGCAGAATTGGAGCCCCGATGCCCTCGGTGGCAGCTTCCTTTCAGTTCCGCTGGCTTGAGGTGCCTCGAACAAGGAGCGCAACACCAAGTCCCCAATTCTACACCAACAAGTTTAGACCTGGTTTGCCCAATCCACTCAAGAAGTAGTGAGGAAATCCTCATATGGGGTTGTATACTACCCCCCCCCCCCGAATTTCCAATAAGTCGGGATTTTGGGTGAGGTGTCCCGAAGCACTGTAAAACGATGAGAAAAAGTATATCGTTTTGTAGACGACTCGCAACAATCTGCAGCTGCAGCTGAAGCTTGTTCGTGGAATGTTACTCACTCCCTGTGTTTCTGGTCTTTAAGATATTTGGAAAGACCATTTTTGTGGCAACTAAAAAGATCCACTCAGGAAGTGAGGCGAAGTTTATTTTTAGTGTGCTGCAACCAACAAAAAAAGATGTCTTGCAGGCCCATACCGGGATAGGTCAGTTGGCACCCTTGGCGTCTCAGCTTTCCCTAGGAGCTGCTTGAACCCTGGGGTCTCAGCTTTCAGGAGCCCAAGACCGATTTCCTTATTTGAGGCCTTTAGGGGTTCCTTGGGAACCCTTAGCAGGGCTCCTTAAAAGATCTCCATTTTGCCCATCCATTTGCAGCATCTGGCTTTTTCCACACCAAAATAAAGTTGTTAGGACACATTCTACATCTTTGCTTATTGTGGTTTGGTGGCTGAAATCCAAATCCACTTCACTGCTAAAAAACTACAATTTGTTGCTCCCCAATCCCAAACCAAGTCATATTTCGGGTCCAAGAAACCTCCACTCGGGGCTTTGGTGACATCGACAGATATGCGAGGACTTTCGGAGAGAATATCTCGAGTCCTATGGCTTGGACACAGACTCCCCCCGGGCCTTGACCCGGGTCTTGGCTGGAGACCTGGAGGCTTCCGGGGAAAAAAACCATCCGCGAAGTCCCACGTGCTACAGAATCTGTCCGAATTTTTAGCCCCTTGGACCCTATGAAAAGGTTCCTTGAACCCCCAAAGGCCTGAGAAATAATGAAAAATCGGTCTTGGGCTAGGGTATGTTTCTCTGCGTTTAAAGGGAATCTACCCCACGAACATGGAACCCACCAAAGGCTCCGGCTTGGCCCTGTGGGGAACAACAGAAAACGTAAGCAAATGGAAGTAAGAAGGCAATCAATGTTGACCCTGGATCCAATTAGAGCCCCTCCAAAAGAGGTCACTCAAATCGGACACCCGCCCTATTAATCAACCTGTTTTTTGTTCAGGCTTCCATGAACCTTGGTTCATATCCTACTTACTGTGGTGGGGGGGGGTTGACCCCTGGACTTCCATTTATGGTTCCATTTTCCCTGATTATGGGGAAGACTAGATAAATGGAATTGGGGACCCCCCACCCCCCTTCCCCTTAAGGCAGGGGGGATGTTGGGTGTATCTTGCGTACTCCTGGGGAGGTGCTTGGATGACCAGCAAGTTCGTGTTGTGCAACTCAGGTAGGGTTGGTCCCTCGACCAGCTTGTGTCCGGAGAAGTCCTACTTGGGGCACTTACCAATTTGGCTTCTTCGCTAGGGGCCTTCGAACCTTTTGGGTGCGTGTTCATGATTTAACTCGTCCAGGAGGCCGGGTTGAGTTCAATCAAGCACCCACGGCCGGCTCTTGTGAGCTGTTTGCGCTGGCTCTTGGAGCTCCTTGCGTCACGGAGAACCCCGACTCGGCCGATTTGTCGGAGAGGCGGGTGGAACCAAACCTTGACAAGCTGCGTTCAGCGCAGGTGTTGAGTCGTATTACGGCAGCAGCATGTTGCTAACATGAGCTTCTTGGAGCTGGCGTGAACGGTTGAGCTGGAGAGAAATTATGGACTAAGGGTGTTTGTGCCTGGGCAGATCTGCAGTACAGTGTTGCCTACCCTTGGGGCATTTTCAAAAGTTTCATTCTCAACTGGTGAACAGTTGCCTTTTGGGGCAAGTAGAGGGTCCAACTAGCCAGCGCAGAGTTTGAGCAGGGTGCTAGACAGCCTAAAATGATTGATTCCCCCAAAAGAGGCAACATGCGGATGGTTCAATGGTTTCCAGGCCCTGAACTTGATACCCAGCAACCTGAAATTCCCTTCGTTGCTTGTTTGTTACTGTAGGTGCAAGGCTCGATAATTACCTTCAATGTGTCCCCACCCGACAGGAAGGGGTTGTTAGATTTTACGTTGGAATCCGCGTTTGCGATGCTTCTACACCACACCCCCACCCAGTATCCCGCCAGAGCGCCGAGTATCCCTCCAGAGCGGCTTGCCAGTAAATCCCGCTAAGTATCCCGCCAGAGCAGCTCGCCAGTGGATCCCGCCAGCTGGCCAGTGGATCCCGCCCAGTATCCCGCCAGAGCTGCTCGCCAGTGCTCGCCAGTGGATCCCGCCGAGCATCCTGCTGAGCCACCAGAGCAGCCCGCCAGTGGATCCCGCCGAGTATCCCGCTGAGCATCCCAGAGCAGCTCGCCACAGTGGATCCGCCAAGTATCCCGCTGAGTATCCCTTGCCGGTGGATCATGCCGAGCCGAGTATCCGGCCAGTATCGAGCCGGAGCGGCTCGCCAGTATTTGCCAGTCAGAGCATCTCGCCAGTCTGGTTTTGCTGAATGTCCCGCCCGGCGCACAGTTGGGTTTATATTTCATGTTGGCGCCTTCGTGTTTTGAGTGTACCCTGAGGCTCGGAAAGGGTGATGCTTTTGTGTTGCTTTGGGCTGTGAATAAGCAACTTCGTTTAATCCCACGTTGGGTTTCTTTTTGGAAGGGGCTTGGCTTTGGTAAACGGCACCGATGTTTGAGTTCTCGAGATCGGCTCGCAGACAAGTGGAGTTTGACACACAGACAGGTGGATAAGGCTCTCAATGCAAAGCTTGTTGAGCTCCGATGGGAATTTGGAGTCGAAGTCTCTAGGATGCGGAGGAATTTGTTGTAACGGTCGCAAGCTCGTGAGTGTGGAGGGTGGGGATTGCTCGAAGCGAAGTAATTTTTCATGGTCATGACTTTAGGTTTTCTGGTGCCCAAGCCCCGATGCTACTTTCTTAGCCCCTTGTGTTGCTCGCTGGATGCTATTGTGGCCGCGTTCCGAGGCAGAGAGTCAACAGCTGCTCCGGTTGATCTCGTACTTGACCGTCGGCGAGCAAGAGGCCACTCTGACACGTTCTGTATGTGGTTGTTTATTTGTGTGTCCACGTGTGTGTATATGTGTGCGTTTGTCTTTCTGTGTGAGTGTGTCTGTGTGTGTGTGTGTGTTTCTTTGTGCTGGTTGGAAAGGGAAAGGATGTTGTTTTTCAGTTTGCCACCCACAGGGTTCGCCTCAAGAAAGTTGACACTGAGACTTGATGATGTTCCTTTTGCTTCCCCTTGGAACCAAGAGCCAGAGAGTTCCCCCCCCCAAAAAAAACGGAAGCCCAGGCATCCCCAGATTCGAAAGCCTGCGGAACCCTCCCTCGAACCCATACCTGCAACAAGCGTTTCCTGGTGCCAGGAAGTGGCTTTTGGGGAGAGACCGATATTGCGGATGGACGCGAAATGATGAATTTCTGTAAATGCAAACAAACGTTATAGTTTCTGCAATAAGGATTCTCCATCCAGAGTTTGGGGTGCGGGAAACCAGCTGTGAAATAAAAAACCGAAGCCAACTACGTAAGTTGGTTGCCTTCGGATTTATAGGCTGCAGGTTTCACAGTTGGATTCTCCATCCACCAGTTTCAACCATGGTCTCATAGTGGTGCGAAATGAGTTTCACATCCATCCGCATTAGCTTTGTTCGGCCGGCTAGGCCCGCGCCTGGTTTGTGCAAAGCGGCTCGAAGGCCAATGAGGCGATGTGACTCGGGTGACACCACTTGGAAACGCGGCCGTGAGGTTTCTGGGGTGGGGGGGGAAGGCGTCTGTGGCGTTTTTGTACTCTGTATATTGGTGAGTCTGCCCTTTGGGGGGGCGCACCTCTTTTTGATGGGTTTGAAGGAAAACCATCAGGAAAACCACAAGTTGATTTCGGGGAGACCATTTTAGCGGCAAACAAGAAGTTTGAACTTCTGTTGGGGCAAGAAGTGAGCATTTGGCTATGGAATGTGGAGCCACCTCATGTCAGGTGGACAGGAATTCCTAAATGAAGGTTGTTTGAATGCTTTGTATAGATCGACTTGAGGGGTTGACATTAAAAAACGTAGATTCATTCGGCCAGTGGTGGGTCGTCTGCCATTGTCGATCTTTCCAAGGGGAAACCCCTTGGCTTTGCGAAAGAAGTGCAGAGTGAACATGCCAAAACAGAAGTCACCTTGTTTCGTGCAGGAACTCGGCTTTTAAACAGCCACTTGACGCGTACTCCGTTGTACATGGATCTGAGCTGGGAATCTTTTCTGAAACTATTGTCCCAAGTCAAGCTTCAATGAATAACGCAGTGAGAACAATGACAACCCGAAGAAAAGAACACGCAGAAAACAGGGGGCCCCACACACACACACACACATATATATATATATATATATATACGCACGTATGCACCTTGCAGGTCAAACATGACCCGCAAAACGGCAAGCGTTGCAGCCTTTGAGACCATACAATTGACTGCCCGCAAGATTGCATACGGTGAAAAGTAGATCTGGATATCCAAAGGGCAGTCCTTGACGTTTTGTTGGCCTGTCTTTTGGGGATGAAGGGCTACACCCCGTGCAATTTAACATGAACCCCATGTTAGGGGGTCCGCAAGACAAGTTCCTCCAGTGTGTATCTTGAAGCACCCTGGATGCTTACTCCCAGGATACCTCCGTTCTTTCGGTTGACATCCCCGCAAAGGTGGACATTTTGAAAAGGGGATGAACAGATCACTTGGGCGCTCGGCCAAGTAAGTGATTGGCAACCTGGGATATCACCAAGTAGAACCGGCCCATCTCGCTCACAGGTTATACCCAGGTAACTAACCACTTGCTAACTTGGCGAGTAAAGAAGATCCAAGTAGGATGGGAAGTCGAGGCAGCCGGGGCCATCCATTCGGACTTCACCAAGAATTTCGAGCAGGCGGAGATCTGGTCCCTTTGGCGAGTTTGCAGTTGCCTGGCGCGACATCTGATCCAGGTTTTTCCAGACCTCCAGTTTTGCAAAGTTTGTTTTGTTTCAGGTAAGCGCTTGGAGTGGTTGGGGATTTGAACCAAGGGTAAATGGGAGGCCAAGGGTAAATGGGAAGCCAACGTCCACAAATCCAAGCCTGAGGCGTTTTCCCGCTTTGCTTGCTCGAACTGTCCTTAGCGCTCGTCCGAAAACCCCGAGAGCGTCTAAGGTGAAGGTTGGACTGAAATGGAATACTGCCGTTCCTGAATATTTATATAAAGCCAACTTTGGACAAAACTCCACAGACACTGAAAACCATGCAACCACCAGAGTGTTTGTTCTTGAACCAAGAGCCGCGTCTATACCTGCCCCTTCTTTTTTTAATCTAGAAGCTCAGTTGCAACAACCCTGAGCCTTAGACTATCAGCTTGGACCTGGTTGGTGCCAGCGCTGGACCATGAAAAGCCACATTGCGGTAATGTTGACCCCGGATCTAAGAAAAACCCGTCCTAGTGATTGGAGGCGTGCTCCCTCCAAAAGTGGTCCGAACCCCCACTGAATACGGTAGCAGTTCAATTCCTCAGGCGTGGGCCAGATTTGGACTCCAACTAAGGTGCCAATTGGAGCCTTTCTACTCGAGGGGGTTGGGTTTGGTTTTAGCGAATGGGCCGATTGATGTTTTCTTGAGAAGGGATTGCGTTTCCTTGCGGCCAATTGACTGGGAAATTGGGTTTGCTTCAAACCCCCTAAGAAATGGATAGGTTTCCTTTTGCAGGTCTTCCGACGGAACGGCAGGTCCTATGATGACTTGGTGAAGCACGGCAGCAAGGCGGCGTCGGGACCTTGGACGTGCCAGCGAGTTTCTCCCCTTCTCAGAGTTCCGGAACTCGGACTGAAGTTCACTTTTGGGCTTGGACAACTCAAGTGGCAAACAAAAAGTAGTTTTTTGGGGAAACCATTCAAGTGGCAGGAAAAAAGTTTGAGCTTGTTGTGACCAACCCACTCAGTGAGTGTAGCAGGTATTCAAGAGATCGTTCTTTGTGGGGCAAAATTGTTTTTTTAATTCACCAGGACCGAGTTTTGGAGTTTCGTGTATGCCCATGAAATGAGTTACAAACAAAACCAAGTGCGGCCACCTTGTCAACTCTTTACATGGTCCTGCCGGGTTTTTGATTTTGACTCAAATGGAAACCAAATGGTTTGAAAAGGGCTGGCCACACTCCCCCCTCAGAAACATCATAGGCTCAGTTGTTCAGTGGCACCCTTTTTCCCATTTTTTTTGGTGGCTGTCCCACTAAAAAATTCGGTCCAAGCCTCGAAAAGGGTTCCCTTTTTTTTCCAGGGTCACTAAACAACTAAGTAAGCGTCCACGCTCCGTTCGGGTGAAGAAGGCGACGCGCGTGTCAGAATTGAGGTGTCGGAAGGCTGGGGTGGTGAAGCAGAAGGGCAAGGACTATGAGGCATGGCCGATGTGCGGTTGGTGCCGAATGGCCGGTTGGGGGGTTCGAGGGGTTGGGGGTTTGAGGTTGGGTGGTTAAGGGTTGGGGGGTTGAGGGGTGGGGGGTTGACTTACAAGAAAGAAAGAAAAAACGAATCACTTGGGCTCGGATCCGTCTGGTCAAGAAAGCATGTGTGTGTGTGTGTGTGTCAATGATGTTGCCCCGACACGGAGCACGGCCTGATTGACTCCGCCAGGTCCAAGATGGCGACGTCATCGAGTTCAGGATCAGGAACGCCAGGTCTTGAGTAGCCCTCAGCTTCAGAGCAGCGCCCAAAACCTGTTTCGGCTCCTGGCCGTTTGATTAGGTTCGGCTCCTACCCGGTTTTTTACTGGGGTCGTAGTAAAACCTATCCAAACCTTCAAGACATTTCCTATGGGGATGTAATCTCCGTGTTCGGAAGTCTACCGTAGGACCAAAAGTCGACAGGGTCTTGGGCGCTGTTCAGGCTGTGTGGCGAAGTCTGGAGCACACCGATCCAAGTAGGTGTAGCGGAGCGATGCGGCGACAAAAGTCCGGCGCTGGCCCGACATATCGCCAGTGGCGCCGGCCAGATTCTTCGAACCGATCAGATCCCTCCAATTGCCCGCTTTGTGGAGGTATGGTGTCAACCTCTGACTGAAACAGCTTCAAGATGCAAGGAATTTTGTACCCTAAAAACAGCAGGGACGAGGAGTAGGGAGCTGGTAAGGTATTGCTGCAGGATAGGAACAAGTGGCACATCATCCAGCCTCCAACACATTGCAGGAAACATGAAGCGCTATAGGAGCCTTTTATCCCCAATCAGGCTATGGGGTACATTAACATCACCTGAAGCCATGGTCACAAGAGAATTATTGCCCCTCACAATGGCATACACACATTTCAGAGATTGGCCGCGGATGCTGGAGTGTCTTCATTCCAAGAGCCACAACATGCTGCGGATGATCAAAATTTGTTCGCACCACTTTGAACCCATGCTTGCAACCATTTGTTTGTCGGTGTTTCCAGGGTTTCTTAGGCGGTGCGAATGGATTTCGTCCATGCACAGTAGGGCAATTCCAATGACTGGAACTATCAAGGATTCAAGCAGCTGGGAGAAGTGTTTGTGGTCTTCGGGAGCTTCAACTGTTGGGAAGATCACTTTCGGGTGGACTTGTTTTTCCATCCACTCAGGAATTGAGTCACGGACTCCCATCAGCCCACCGATTCATGGGTGACCAGCGGGTGGCTCCCAGCCATCTCCTTAGTTTTTAGCTTTTAATGAGCTGGTAGTTTCCATGGAACCCTCAGTTGTTCAGTGGCACCCTTTCCCCTTTTTTTGGTGGCTGCTCCACTAAAAATTGTCCAAGCCCCAAGAAGGCTTCCAATTCTTTTTTTCCAGGGTCACTGAACAACTGAGTTCTTGGAACCCATTTTTCCCTCAACCAAAGGGTTTCAGGTCCGTTTTTTGGCCCACTAAAACTTTGGTGCATTTTGCTTGGATGTTAGGACTTTAACTTTTTGCCAACTACCGGGTGTTCCGTACTAAACCACGAGAAGTTAGTCACTCTTAGCAGGGCTTCGCAGAAAGCACCCGATTTATGGAGGGGCGCTACCAACATGAGTGTGTCTTTTCGTGTGGGTAGCCCTTTTTTGGTGGTATTCACTTTGAGCGGAGAGCTCAGGTGGAGCTCCGCGGCGCCGCTCTCGAGGCTTGTGGGAGGGTTTTGCTCGAGTGGCACTCGAGTGCCTCGCTCCAGTTTTGGGGGGGTCCAACCTGGAAAAAGACCAGGCACCTAATATGGATATACCGTGCCTGGACTTTAGTCGCTTTCTGGGTTTGGACATTTCTAGGTGGTGAACAAAAGTTCAGACAATCTACTCATGATGTGAAACAACGACTGCAAGAAGAAAAAAACAGATCGAGTGCATATTTTCTCCATGGAATCCACGACGGCCAAATCCCGAGGAATTCGAGTACCATCGGAAAATATTTGCACTCCCCTCTATTTCTGGGGTCAAGTCTTTAGTCAAGGCCCTCTACACCCAAAAAATCAACGGGTTGGGTGGGAATTCGTCGTTTGCGTTTTCTAGAATCGGCCTGCGGACTATGGCATGGGTGCTTTGGTTTGTGTCAGATTTGGATGTGTTTTTTTGGCGGGAACCCCCAACATGGTGGTTTACCTTTAATGCAGGACGGGGCCCTTCCTTAATCCCCGACACAAGGGGTTCGAATCCCAGCTCCAATCCAAACCACATCAGGGTAAACTGGGTGTATCTTGTTTTTGGGGATCCCCCAAATTGTGGCTTTCCTTTGAGTTTGGTGCTCCAAGACACAAAACATGGGTACCAACTCTAAAAATGACGATCCGCCCATTTGTAGAAAGAACCACCGTGGGACTGGTCTGGCAAAGATGGAAGCTTTTAAGTGGTCCGAAGGGGTCCCAGCGTGCATGTGAGGAGTGACCCAGATCTTCCCCATGGTAATCCATGGTACGTCTTTTTGGCTTGGCGTGTGGTTTGGAGGCATTCTGGGCTTCCCATGTTCAAGATGAATGGTCTCAACTCCCCCAATCCAAACTTGAGCGGCGCCCTTCATAGACTTTTGGTTCTACCAAGATGGTTACAGAAGTTTGCACACGCCTTACCCAGATTAAGCCAGGTAGGAGCCGAACCACCTAAAATGAAGAGCCAACAAGGGTTGACTGCCTCATGGGCACCGCCTTTTCCATGCCCTGTGGTTTCCCGTTTGATGTCCCTAACTATCCAACCCTCCAAAAAGAGGAAGCACTAAATGGGTCTGTCTTTTTCGAGGTGGGACAAGTGCCTTTTGAATGGGAACCAACTGGGTGCTGCAGAGGGTAGGTTGCCACTTTCTGTGTGGCACTGAGGGAATCCCGGGAAGTGATGATGTAGTCATCAAGTTGGAATCACGCAAGTTATTGTCCACAAACATGAGTATGGAGAGACGCTATCTACCGCCTAGTTGACAAGAGACAGGTTAATCCAAAGGCAGTTGAGCTGAACCCGCCCCCCACTTCCCCACTTCCCCAAACCACTCGCCTGAGGGAAAATGAATGAAGTTACGATATGTCGGTATAACCAAGACATACACTATCTAAGGGGACGCTATACCCCAGGTGCCCTAAGGGATTGATGATGACCAGTCTAACTTCAGGCTGTTCCCAGCAGCAGTGAGGACCTCGAGGCATCCGTCCCGACAGGGGGGGGAGACTGGCAAAGACTGGTGGTCTTTGGGTGTGCTACAGCCCTGAATCACCAGCCCCGTTACTTGGGTATTCGCCCAAGCTGGTAAGTTGTTGGTAACTTGGTAACGCAGTCTTCTGTACGAAGATTTAAACATAAGCAGTGGTGTCTTAGAGTTGGCGTTGCTAAAGATACTCAGCTTGTGGGCCAACCATCCAGGGCAGAGGCCTGCACAAAGCCGCGACTCAAAACCGGGTCCAGCTCCCGCCCTTTCTCCAAGACGATTTTGGGATGTTGGGCGAAGTGTCTCACTCCCTGCGTTCCGTGACTCGGACTTTGCACTTTTGGGCTTGGACCGTTTTAGTGGCAAACAGCAAGCTTGGACTTTTTCTTTTTCCGAATCCACTCAAGAAGTGAGATATTGTGGTTGGCAGAATCTCATTGTACCTTTTTGTGGGTCAAGGTGCACCGCAGAGGGTACCTAATTATTATTTGGTACCCCATTTTTGTGGGCCATGTTGTACTCCCCTGTACTGGTCAACATGGAACCCAACAAAAGCGCCATTTGTAGAGCAAACTCTGTTTTGCTGAGCCCCCCGCTGGGGTTCCATGTTAATTCGTAGGGGAGTGCGGTTCGAGCAGAGAATACCGCGGCATGCTTCAGCTTAAAATCAAAGCCCAGCAAGGAGACTGAGCACAGCAATTTCTCGGTTTCCCAAATCGACCAGATCAATCAATCTTTTGGTGTCCTGCTTTTAGTGGAGGGGATCAAGGTACCTACCTATTTCCTTTATTACCATATGACCAGCACAAAAAACCGCGGGCCCCACGTTCCATAGGCAAAAAGGGCCGTGAACCCGCCAGACAAATCCCAAACGGAGCGAGCGAAGACAAACTTCCGCCAGTCCGGGAGTGGCACGAAGACCGCTGCCAGCACTGCTGCCAAGGCGCGTGACGCAAGGAGCTTCCCAGTATGAGAGTCATGCTCCAACGCGGAGATACTTGGGTGTTCGTAAGTGGTTAGTAGCCAACGTTACCTATGTAAAACCGGGCTAACCGCTCTTGGGGGACCTTTAAGTCCGGCCGAAGACCCAAGTAGGCGTTTCTCAAAATGGCGATACCCTGCTTGGAGGGAATCCAAAAAAAAACCTACCACCTGGACACCTGAATCAGTTTGAGAAATTCCCAAATACGAGTCTGTCTAAAGGGCGAGCCCTACAAAATCGATGGTTTCCCTTTGATCTCAAGGGATGCGCATGTGTTTGTTCTACTTGACCTTTGAATTTGTGTGTGGATTCCGCCCGTTCTTCGTGTGCGGCGAATCGGACCCCAAAATGGCAAGCCACGTTTTTTCTTGTGTTTTCCCCGTAAAGCACCCCTAAAAAAACAAAAGAAGGACGAGGCGCCCATGTCGCTCAGAGAGCCAAAGCTTTCTCGCGGCCCTTTGGACGTGACGTGACGTAGCCAATGCCGGGCCAAGTTGGTGAGGTTTAAGCCCACAAGCTTAAAGCCTGGCAGCTCGATAGAGTAAAAGCAAAACAATCTTCAAAAGAGAAGGTGGGTCTCTCTCTCTCTCTCTCTTTTTCTCTTTTTCTCTCTCTTTCTCTTTTTCTATTTGTTTCTCTCTCTCTCTATCCCCCTCTTGTCGTTGGCTTTCAAATTGGGTCGTCCGTATAAACCCATAAAAAGGCGACACACAAGGGCTTTGCAATTTTGAGAACCAGGGGCCAGTCACCGTGTTGCCAGACATTGGGACTGGAAGTTGACTGCGATGCGCTATGGTGGAGATGTGCATAGGTCCAGATTTTTCGGGAAACCTTTGCGGGACGCCATCTAATATGAAAGGGGGGCATGTATGATGGACACTTAGGGTCTATTTGGGGTAGTGGTTTGTTAGGGTTCCAGGCTGCAGAATCGACTCTAAGTGTCCATGGCACGGGGGGGGCATCCAACCAACTTGCTTCAGGTCAGAGGTTTGGATAGGTGGTGTGGGAATTTGAAGCCCTGGTTCTTGTATAGAGGAGAACTGAGGTTCCCACCCCCGGAACACCTCCAAATGATCGATCAGAGGGACGCTGATGCCAACTTTGTGCGGTTCTGACCCCCTCGAATTCTCAGCCCAGCGGTTC